GAGTCTCCTGTCCCTATATTGGGAGAAATCAGAAGTGCATAGGAGTTGTGTGCGCTGTGTGAACATGATGTTACTGTAGTTCTAGCCTAATGTGAATGTGCATTAATTCATCCCACTCACAAAAACAGATTTAGTATTCATCAAAATGAATTAAAACAGTGAAATGCAAACTCAGAATATGATGCAAACATGCAATAATTAAATGTGTTAAATAACACAAATGTATCTAATCCCATTTTATTAACCAATGTCTTTGCTGCCGACCTATGATGATCCAGTTCAACCATACTAATGAGCAAAAGTGACTTTAGATAAACGAACAATTGTGCTTCATTGTTTTTTTTTTATTGCTGAAGAGTGTTGAACCTTCTCCTGCGTTCTACTGTACAGACGTGAATTTACGTTTGCTTCAGCCTGAGGTTTATTCATTACACTTTTTGGTGTGAAAAGGCTTTTGCATTTGCTATAAATAGAACTTCTTATATTAAAAACAATCAAGCCCTGCTCATATTTAAAAAGTAACGCAAAAGTAATGCAAAAGTAATGTAACGCATTAATTTCCATAAAAAGTAACTAAGTAACATAATTAGTTACTTTTTGAGGGAGTAACCCAATATTGTAATGCATTACTTTTAAAAGTAACTTTCCCCAACACTGATTACAATTTATTGTAACTGGCTTTTTATATTACATTTATATTAAATATTTTTAAAACATATATATTAAAAATGTATAAATGTCACATGATCCTTCAGAAATCATTCTAATATGCTGATTTGCTGCTCAAGAAACATTTCTTATTATTATTAATGTTGAAAACATTAACATTGTACAGCTTAATAGTTCAAAAGAACAGCATTTATTTGAAATACAATGTTTCTGTAACATTGATCATTTTAATTTGTCCTTTGCGGAATAAAACTGTTAATTTCTTTAAAAATAATAAAAATTGTATTAACCCCAAACGTTTGCACGGTAGCATAGTAAAATTTCCCCTTTTTACTATCATTAATTTATCTGTGTTAATATATTATGACAGTTAACAGTTTCTTTTTTAATTATTTTAACAGTGGGTTAATCTGTATTAAGATTTATCTGCTTTTATATTCTACTATATATTCTTACTTGTTATGTTCATATATTAACTGTCTGATCTTGTAGACTATAGACTTTCTGTAGCTTGAGCAGTGGAGCATGATGGCGCTAGCTGCTCCAAGGTCACAAGTTCACTTTCCAGAGAATGCACATGGTAAATTCATATTTAAAATGCAACACAATACCTGCCAATTGAGTAAATCTAATGGTGATATCTTATCGGAAGTAGCATCCCTAATGCATGCCATAATGACAGCATTGTTGATGAGCAATTTAGTTGTGTGCTATTTTCTAACACACATGTGATTAATCGGGTTGCATCAGTGATTCAGTCACACATTGGGCTGGGATTTCCTAGACTCTGCCCACATTCATAGTGAGCAGACAGCATGGAGCTGGGTAACAGGGTCTGGCAGGGCTGGATACAATTTGGGCATGTAGTTCACCCACAGATGGTTGGACAGCACAAGCCCCACAGAGTTGGCACGCATTAGATCTCCATGTTTTGAGGATTGTCAGAAGACTATAACAACCTAGTCTCCTCTCATTTTAAATAATGCATCCTCTGTGGGGCTTAACATTTCGCTTTGACAGTTATAGCATGATTGTTTATTTCTTCTAAAGCTAAAGTCAGTTGTCTTGAAGCAATACTGCATCACTACATTTCAGTTATTAGCAATATGGGACAAGGTTTCAGGAATATGAAGTCAAGCATACCGTATAGCAGTGATCCTCAAATCCGGCTCGCGAGATCCACTTTCCTGCAGAGTTTAGCTCCAACCCTAATCAAACAAACCTACCTGTGATTTTCTTATGATCCTGAAGACATTGATTAGCAAACTCGGGTGTGTTTGATTAGGGTTAGAGCTAAAATCTGCAGGAAAGTGGATCTCGCGAGCCAGATTTGAGGATCACTACCGTATAGTGATCCATAAATTAGGTACAGCTTGGACAACATGACTTTGACTGCCTTGTGGGAAAGAGGGTCGTTTCCGACCCAGATTAATGTTCCTCTGTGCTTATTCTTCATTACAGTGTAAGGGTTAGTAATGATTATACTATAGGGGTCTTCACCTCTTTCAAGCTTTTAGTGGACTCCTTGGTGCATAGAGAGAGTGTACTGTATATTACCATATTATTGTATTTGGATACTTTATTTTGATGGTTGCATTGCAGAGGCATTAAAATAATCATTACTGACGATCAGAGTCATATGTTTGTACATTACAGTTTAATTTTACTTATACATTTTAATGTGGAAGGTCCAATCAATTGTAACTTTGGTTGATGTAAACTTGATATTGTATTTTAAATATAGGGACTGTTTATTTATTTAGCACATTATAGCGATTTACAGTGGTAATTTAAAGTATTTTAAATAGATAAAAAAAAAAAACTAGAATAGAAAATATCCAAAAAGTGAAGATCTTAAGAACAATATGTATATATTTGTATTATTATTATTAATAATTTATATTTTATTTTTTCTGTATGTATATTTTATAACATTTCACAGTGGTAAGTCAAAGTGCTTTGAGTAGATAAATGAAAAAATAGAATAGAAAATATACACAAACATTTATGTATTTATTTATTTATTTTACAAAAACTGTTCATCAAATAAATAAATGCATACATACATAAGTAAGTAATTGAGTGTTTCATTTGCAGTGTAATGATGAATTTCATTCTCCAATCACAAAACTTCTATGTTTTGAGATTTTTTTCCCCCTGTGTTTGTTGGTTGGCATGAACAAGCATACAAGGGTTAGATCTTTGACTTACAGTGAATACTTTGTTTTATTTATTTATTTTATTTTATTTTTTTACTTTTTTTGTCATGGTGGCAGTGATGATGTGATAAAATTATAAGGATCTTGATTTCAGTGTTGGAGGTAAGCATGTTTAACTAACTTAAGCTCACAGAAACTTAATCATTTTCAAATTGTGTACTTTTCCAAACTTGTCTTTTCAGTGAGTAGTTAATGTACTCCGCTTTACAGCCGAGTGAGCTGGGTGAATAACTAAACAAGCTACATGATCATTTCTGTCATGTGTAGCATTGAAAAAATTGATTCTTGTGCAAAATACTGTATTTAAACAAACATTGCGTATTCATATTGATTTCTGTACTATAGAACTAATAGTGGGTTTATACAGTTCATCGCTGTGGATGGCATAACTGTTGTACTCACTAATGCGTCACCATCAGTTGTGGCAAGTGATCTGGTAGCTTCTGTCTTGGCTTTGCCGGCCCACACAGGCTGTGTGTAGCTGAGACTCTGTGTGCCAGTCGTGCTCAGAGAAGGGAGAAATGAGTGGCAGGTGGACACGTTTACTCCCAGCATGCCTGTTGCTGGCAAAGGATTGACACAGTCTCCCTACTGTTGCCCAAACTGCTCTTGTTCCTTAAGCATGGCTTATCTGAACCTTTTTTATTTATTGATTATATTTTTTGCCTTAAATCAATTAATCAAGAATTGCATTCACCTTAAATAAACATATAAATGTGTCCTTATGTTATTATTTTTTTTATTTGACAGTGTAAAGCAGAATTCCTCAAAGCCACTTAGTCATTGTAAAATCACTGTATTGAGTGGCTTTTTTTCCTGTTATAAATAGGACAGCGATGGGAAAAAACACATGAATGTTCATTACATGGATATATATATTGACATTAGTAATCACAACTAGATTTTTCAACTAGTCTTTTCCTATATTTTTGCAAAATTCCTAAAACATATCTATACATACAATTAATTAGTTTCCAGGTGAAATGAACACTAGAGGCAGTAAAACACCGAGAGCCTTTATTCCTTTTCAAAACAAATAATAATTAAAGGGCAGATTGTTGAATAACAAATACTTATATTTATGTGGTTCCTTGCACAATACAAGATATTACCTCAGACATTTTTTTACTATAGTGCATGATTTGTAAACTAATACATTTTGATGTTTTTTTATCACATAACCAATGCCATATAAATGGGTTTTCTGACATAGTAAACTTGCTCGGTAGCTCACCTGGTCACTGCACTGCACTTCTGATACGAAGCAAACACGTACGAGTCCTGTGAAACAGAAGTTAAGATAAAAACAAAGACAGAACAAACTAAAATGGCATGGTTGCTTCAGAAAATGCATTTTTATCTTACTTTAGGTTTAGGTTTAGGTTAGGGTTTAGTGTAGGTGGTACATTAATTTTAAATGCGCCACTCACTGGACATTTTATTTCCCAACTGCCTCAAAACGCACAACAACCAGTGTAATAATACGTTGCCAGTTTCAAGTTTAACAGTTTGGATAAAACACAATGCTCTTTTAATGCTGGCCATTTCAATTTGAAAGTGACACAAAATGCACAAGAAGCAATGTAATATAATTTTACAGAAATGTCTCCACGTTTTTCCAGTGAGCCTGGCTTGTGATTTTTACACTTGCTGAAGAAAATGTGAGTGCTGTTTGACTGTACAAAAACAATCTAGATTGCTGTTGGTGGTTAAAAAGGGAATGAAAAGAGTTGCTAAGGTGTTGCTATGTGGTTGATTATTTGCAAAAGAGTGATATTCTGGTCCCCATGTTTCATGGTTTGTAGTAACTTGCTACTTAGAAAGATTGAACAAACAGTACCTTAAACAGTCAGATTTTAAAGCAATCCATTTTAAAATGGATTTTACTAAAGCGTGTAGGCAAAACATTTTGCCTGATCTTGCCTGAGCTCTTTCTGGACATGTTATTGTTCTGATGTCAGTGGTTTTGCTTTTTAAAAGATGTCTGTCAGAACAGCTGGATTTTTATAAGACTGAGGCCACCCTAATTTTCAACACAAGCGGATCCATCCACTGAAGGTGTCAGCACAGCTGATTTACGATGAATAAAGGCACCTCTACTCAGGCGTACAGATGGGAAATCTTGGTTTCCTTCTGTTGGCTCTACTGGAGCTGGAAGGTTGGTCAGATAAGGATTTTTCAAGGACTGTTGGGTGATATATGTCATCCACCAGGTGACTGAATATTTGCACCTGTTTATCCCTTGGTAAGAGTCAAGGGAGGTCTTCCATTAGCTTGGGCTTAGTGAGATTTTGAGAAGCTTACACCTTCTTGCTGTGTTCTTTTGCTTTATTGGTCAACAAATCGCTGTGTTTTGGGATTATATGCTGGAATGTGCTGATTCCCTGGTGTGTAAGTCTTCATGCACAATCATGGTGTGGGGCAAGTTTCCAAACAGGGGCTTTGCATTCATTTTGGCTTGAAGCTCACATAGTCCTTCATGGAAGTGCTTAAGAATGAATGGTTCTCAGCCAGTCATCTGTGGCATATTGCAGATTGTTTTAAAATTTAATTTTAATAAATAAATGAGTGAGTGAGTGAGTGAGTGAGTAAATGACTGACTGACTGAGTAAATGAATGAATGAATGAAACAGTTACAATTTACTAATTTTATATACTTATAAGTGCAAGAATGAAGAGTAATCACAATTCAATATGCAAATGTCATCTGTGGCATATTGCAGATTGTTTTAAAATTTAATTTTAATAAATAAATGAGTGAGTGAGTGAGTGAGTAAATGACTGACTGACTGAGTAAATGAATGAATGAATGAAACAGTTACAATTTACTAATGTTATATACTTATAAGTGCAAGAATGAAGAGTAATCACAATTCAATATGCAAATGCATGGACAAATCAAGCCTAATTGCAATTCATTATTCGAATATTACAATAATGCCGTCATGGCAATGATGGGTAAATGGGTTCTTTTCACATTTCAACTTAAGTTATTTGTACAAAATTTATATTAAATATACAAAATTTATATAAAGTGTATGCAGCTAAAAATAGTAAATGTAAAACTCAGTGTTGTTATTGTTTATTGAAATAAAGCAGAAATAAAATAAAATATAAATGTTAAATGAAAAACTTTAAAATCTAAATGAAAATTAGAAATATTGCCTTGGCAACTAACTTAAATAATAAAACTCAAATAAAAAGAAATGTAAAACTATTTAGAAATATTTTAAAATGAGTAATAATAAAAAAAATACTAAAACTTGAAAACTGAAAATATATATAAAAACTGATTCAAATGATTAATAAATATTGTAATAATATATACATATTAAATAATAAATATATATTAACCCCATTTTGGCATGGGGACATATATGACATACCCAAAATAAAAGGTTGCTGCTCATGAGTCTTTCTGACTAGATAGATAACCAACATATATTTACAAAGCTGACACTTGAAAGCTTACTGTTCAAGACTCAGAATTACTCAGGCTGTTATGAATATGAAGATATATAAGCTCAGACATAAAGAAAAAAATATTAATACATTTTTTAAATTTATTTTAAAAATGATGTGGCTATAGTGAATGTTTTTAGAAAAACAATGAAGCTGAAGCCACGAGTCTGCTCATGCTTCATTTCAAATTTGAGGATGTCATCTCTAAAACTTTGTCTCTGAAACATTTTCTAAGACCATGTCAACTGTGTTTTTAGAGAAGGCTAATAAAAGGCTAGTAAAATATATAGTGCAACCTGTAAGCTCCCCTGCATGCTATTGTCTGATGTCTGGCCCGGCAAACTGCCCCATTCGTGTTTCTATTGTCCTCACTCGACAACCCTTTCACACCTCTGCAAGGTATCAGATGTAATCCTCATTATTCTTTTTTTTTATTCAGCCATTATTAGCCTTTATTCTGGCAGTACATGATTTACCAATCCACATGGCTTTGATCCCAATATACATACACCCACCTATTATCTTTCTATATCATCTTTCTAGAAAACAAAACAAGACATTTTCTTGTGACCTTGCGTGAATTATTTTGTCAAAATACATCATGAAATATAATTGCACCTGTTCAGCAAAAATACAAAGTTTGTCTAGATCAAGTAAGAGAGTGATGTTTTAACATGCTGTGAATGTGAAACAACAATAATCTGAGGTCGCCGGCAATCTTTGCGTGTTAAGAGGATAAAATAACACTGCTATATGCTAGAGTAATCCTTAAACCTCTAACAACACCTACCTCTGATTAGTAATATTAAGAAGAAAATCATTGTTCACAACTGTGCATAAACTAAAAACTATTTGTTAATAAAAAGGTATGAGCCCTTCAAGCTACTGATTGTTTAAATAGAAAATACATCAACATAATTGTCAGTTTATTTTAGGGAGCATTTAATGATGCTAAAAAGCTCTTATTTAATAATGTAAAGTAGTTTTTAATTGTCAACTGGCAAGATTGTGCCAGCTAATTACAGAAATGGAGAGATCAGTTCAACACCATACAATCGGAGTTAATGCTTTGCAAATTATGGGCTGATGATGTTGGCCAGCACAGGCTTTTCCTGCTGTGCTGCTGCCGCTACAAGATTTCACTGTGTCTGGTTGTAAGGCTCATTTTTCTGCTTTGGTATATAGCTCAAGATGCCTTTGGTATATAACAAGTACAGTAGCAAATCTCAAAGCCCCCTCAAGTTGGAGTTCTGACTCGGAAACTTGGAGGAACCGCAACAACCCTGACTTCCAAATTCCAAAATGGCTGCTCAACTACTTTAACATTTTGCAAACATTATGGGGATATTACTGAAACAAGTAGCAACATTTAAAAAGTGTTAGATGAAATGTTCAACTAAATGCATGAGAAAAAAAAACATTCCATGTATGATGTAAAGATAATGTTTTTGTGGCAATGTTTTGAGTACATTATTAAAGATCAGATGACTCTGGGCGAATGTTCTGTTAATGTTACTGGAAGTACGATTGTTTATAACTTGGAAAGAACCCGAACAGTAGGGAACTTCTGAGAATGTTCCCTGTAGGCTACTTATAATGCTTGATCTATGTTTACTTTTCAAAATCATAATGGAAAGAATTTGCTGTAGTTTGGGATATTTGGAGTAGATACAGACAGGGGCATTTCAGGCTCAATCAAAAAAGTGTGTCCATATTTTGATACCTTTTTTGATACTGTATTGGAAATTAATATGGTCTTTACTTGCAGCACAGAGTTGTTCACAAGCTACATGCGCAATAAAGAGCTGGTTTGTTGTTGCAAACGATAGAAGACATTTGTCATTTGATTCCTACAATGGATTGTATAAATATCCACCACATCCAGTGCTCTTTTTGATTCCTTTCTTATAAAACATCTAGTTACTATTGTGCTGTTAGAAACCGCTGCAAATGATTCAGTGCATGAGTGAGCTGTCCTAACGAGTTATGCTGTATCCCAAGCAATTTCAGACCTTTTTGCAAACATGTTTGACCAATTAGATTAAAAGACTTATTAATACATCAATCCCATTGACACAAGGATATATCAGTAATATTTTACTGGGGCTTGTGCACCAGTAAAAAGGGCCCAAGCACCCATGGATATAGGCATGCAAAGAAAACTTAACTTAAAGAGAGTTCACCCAAAACTGAAGATTCTGTCATCATTTTCTCCCCCTCAAGTTGTTCCAAATCTGTATGAGTTTCTTTCCTCTGTTGAACATACAAGAAGATATTTTGAAGAATGTTGGTAACCAAACAGTTGCTGGTTGCCATTGACTTCCATCGCATGAAAAAAAAGTAAATGGGGACACATTCATCTTCTTTTGTCTTTAATAGAAGAAAGAAACTAATGCAGGTTTGAAGCAACTTGAGGGGGAGTAAATAATGACAGAATTTCCATTTTTGGGTGAACAATCCCTTCAAAGTTTAAACTCAAGTTGTGTGACAGTGGCATAAGAGGATGTATCGGGGTTGGATAGCTGCATCATGTAGCGATGTGATGGATGGTTGCATTATCTTTCTGACACTACAGATGGAATGCATATCTGCCTGTACACACTTTTCCTCAGCTGTTAATTAGCTTTTTATTTACAAGAGATGTGAAATACAGAATAAATAAATAAAACAACAACAACAATGTATTCAGTGTCATAATATATTCATTGAGCTAATAAAAAATAAACACAAACAGGAGGCTATTCATGCAAGTAGGCTAAATTACCATATCTAAGTATACCCACACATAAACATCTTTACATACCTACCAAATTACACGCACATGCAAATTATATTTCCCTCAAGCCTTTCAGTGTCAATTATGTTATGTACTGTGGAAACCTGTTTCTACCTCAGGATAACAATAAAAATAAGTAACTGTGACCATTTTCTTGCAATTGTGACTTTATCTCACAATTGTAACTTTATACCTTGGACTTGTTGCTTCATTTATCAAAATTATGATTTTATATCTCACTTAATTTCTTATTTTATTTTTTGTTTTAAGTTTCACTTTTTTTAGAAAAGTTTTTTTTTTTTTAGATTAGAGCTTGTGCATGACGACTCTTGTTGGTTTTGTATGACATTGGGCATTAGCTTTATCAAAATTCAATGTCATTGTTGTATAGTCTTGGCTTTGGCCCGAGAGCCAAACTGCCATTAGTTCAGTTAATAATGGAGTTAGGAGAGGAAAGTAAAATTGTGTGATATGGGATAACGCAATGTATGATATGCGTCCTAATTTATATCATTAATGCATGGATGCATCTAGGGCCAAAAGGGAGAAGGACACAAGAAAATCTTTTGACAGGTTCTGGCAACAAAATGCATGGCTCACCTTCTGTTTCTGTTCACATTCTATATACGTACTAGATAATACTTCATAGGTTGATGGGCTGTGCTACGTGGTGCTGCCTGCATGGGTTCAAAATGTATCTATATTTATTTGATTGAAAATACAAAAAAATACAGTAATATTACTGCAATTTAAAATAACTGTTTTCTGTTTTACTATATTTTGGCCTTACTGCCACTTTTGATCAATTTAATGGTGTCAGCTTTTTTTTTTTTATGGCAGATCTCAAAGCTGCCTTTTTGTAAAACTCAAGATTTTAGATTTTGAGGTCATGATGCAATACATTACTTTTTCCACAGGTC